AAGAAAGAAAGAAAGAAAGAAAGAAAGAAAGAAAGAAAGAAAGAAAGAAAGGGAAGAAAAGGAAGGAAGGGAGGAAAAGGAAGGAAGGAAAAGGATGAGAGAGGGAGGAAGGGAGGAATTAAAGAAGGAAAGACAGATAGATGGAAAGAAGGAATAAGGCTCTCCCAATAGGTTTAATTAGCTGAAACTTTAGAATTGTGAGTTTCCACAGTAGAAATTGCTATACAATGTTCTCCATCCTACTTTTATATGCTTAAGTATCTCCAGTTCAGTTTTTGGTAGAGGGATGAGACTATATTACTTTTTATACAAATACAGCTAAGAGTCAAACATTTTGTTTTTGACAAAGTTAAGATGCAACCTTGGTCATTTTGGAGAAACTACTTCCAACATTTACTGGCTTGGTGGATTCAGGCAATAAGGTATTTTGGATGGGATCCCAAACTTGTTCTCCCAAATTAGCCTTGGAAGGTAAGCTATTCTGGGCTCTGATTTAAATGAACGGTTCCCAGTAGGGAGCTCAATTTCTTCTCTGTGGTTGCCCTCCACTTTTGATGAAAGCCAGCAGGTGTCTTTGTAGCACTGTGCTCCAGGCACAGAAATAGACAGCTGAATCCTTAATTTGGGTGTTCTTCAGATACAAAGAAGTCGTCTTGTTATTTGTGTTCAGAATCATCTCGAAATTATCCTTTGTTTCAGTCTTTGATGAATACAGGATCATCATAAGCTCTGGCTGGCCTCCTGGATATTGCTTGTACCATTGAAGACTAGAAGCTGTTTCTGAATAAGAGCATTTCAAATGGATGGAGTCTCCTTCCTTAATTGAAATAAATTGGTGCTTCTGGGTCACTATAGCTTGACTTGATACAACTGTAATAGAAGACAGTTGTTAGGAAAGGAAGGAAGGAAGGAAAAAAGAGAAAGAGAAATGAGAAATGAGAAATCAGAAAAGAGAAAGAAAGATTAAAGGAAAGAAAGAAAGAAAGAAAGAAAGAAAGAAAGAAAGAAAGAAAGAAA